ATTTCTGTTCCAAATCTATTTCTGAAATAAAAAATTTGTTCCAAAAATTGAAAAATGAAATTGCGTTATCAAACGGATTCCTGTTCCAAACTTGTTTTTAAAGTCCTAAGGGCATGAATGACAACATTTCTCTTCTCGGCCCTATTTATAGCTAGAAATTAAAAAATTTATTTCTATTTTCCGAGCGAGTTTTTGAGCAAAAAATAACGTTTGATAACGATATACAATTTCTGTTCCGGAATAGAAATTCATTTGATAACGACGCAAAATTTCTATTTCTGCCGGTTGGTGAGCGGTGGCGACGGAGGGTTGGCAAGCGGTGGTAGCGACAGGCGATAGCAGATGGCTGACCAACGGCTGGCAAGCGGTGGTGGTGACGGGCGATGGCGGATGGCCGGCGCCGAGCGGCGATGGGGGGCGACGCGAGCACGGCGGTGGCGAATGCTAGAGGGGCGTGAGGCGGCGGACTACCGGCAGCACCAGGCGAAGCAAAGCGGCGTGGCGGGGCGATACGCCGGAGCGGTGGAGACTGGCAGCGACGCGCGATAGCGCGACGGCGGGCGGCAAGGCCGGCCGGGCGGCCGACGCGGCGGCAGTGGCGAGCGTGGCGGCAAGGAACAAGTGGGCGGCAAGGAAGAGTAATATAAGAGAGTTGTTATTTCTGTTCCAAATCTATTTCTGGGCCAAAATTTGTCCCATAAATAAAAAAAATAAAATTATTTTACCAAACAGATTTCTGTTCCAAACATGTTCCTGGGTACAAAAAAAAAAGAAAAAGAAAACAGAACGGTTATCATTCGCTCCCTAATTCTCCTCCGCCTCTTCAATACTTCTACGTCAGAGAAGAATAGAGGTGTAAATGGACTTATTAGATAGATAAATTCGATTCAATCGTATGAAAAGTTTGATGTCTACACTCCTACGTCGAGGACGAAAGATGCAGACCCGATTAGTTGGTGTATTGATAGTGAAGGGCTTTTTCGCATTTCACTCGAATACCAAATGCAGGCGGTCCTTCAAATAGATCCCAAGCTAATATGGAAAGATACGATAATACAAATGGCGACATGTCAAATCGTAAGTATTGCTTATTGAAGCAAATATACATCATCTAACAACTCATCATACTCAAGATGGTTGTACAGAAACCAACTGAAGTTTGGAAGTTAGATTGCAATTCGATTTGTGGAAGAAATATGAAGTAGACGAAGAGTGTCACGTCTAACATATTAGTCAACAGAGCGAGGGTCTTTTTTAACATGTTTTGTTTGCTTATGGAAGACGCCATCGCGCTTTTATTGTCGCAAAGAATAAAGGATTGTTTTGTTTCGACAGCAGACCCTGCGCCAGCAAATGTCTTCCTTCTTGCAACCAGATATAATTTGGAGAGAAGTTGATAAGCTTCGTTTGGTTGAGGTCACGACTCACAACTCAAACGTCATTCGAGTTTGGGGCAAGCCGAGGATCGCTCGTCTGACAGAAAGCTTTCGAGGATGGCGTTTGCAGATAAATCTATGAATCTTAAGCGGCAGATAATGAAGGAAAACAAAGAAGAAACGTGGGAGTTGAGTCGAAAAGGGAAGGAAGATGATTGAAGATATCACTCAAGCTAGCAGCAATCCATGTAATTCACACTTTTGAAAGTATCGTTGCCAACCAAATCCACATCACATTAATGAAATGCCAATCCCACTCAAGACTCTCAATTGAAACCAAACTGTATTTATCATCCTCACGCTCACTTTCCAGGGACGAAGTTGGTGGCATAGGCCCAAGCATTGTTGTTGACTGGGTCAGCAAGGTGGTCAGCCAAGTTCTCCAATGGACCCTTTCCTGTCACAATGGCCTGCACGAAGAACCCAAACATGGAGAACATGGCAAGCCTGCCGTTCTTGATCTCCTTCACCTTGAGCTCAGCGAAGGCCTCGGGGTCATCGGCCAGGCCCAATGGGTCGAAGCTCCCACCGGGGTAGAGTGGGTCAGTGACCTCACCGAGCGGGCCGCCGGCAATACGGTAACCCTCGACGGCTCCCATCAGGATGACCTGGCAGGCCCAGATGGCAAGGATGCTCTGAGCGTGGATCAAGTTGGGGTTGCCTAGGTAGTCGAGCCCACCCTCGCTGAAGATCTGGGCCCCGGCCTTGAACCACACGGCCTCACCGAACTTGACGCCATTGCGGGCGAGGAGCTCAGGGAAGACGCACCCCAGGGCACCGAGCATGGCCCACCTACAGTGGATGACCTCAAGCTCGCGGTTCTTGGCGAAGGTCTCGGGGTCGGCTGAGAGCCCGGCGGTGTCCCACCCGTAGTCACCGGGGAACTCACCGGTGAGATAGCTCGGGGGCTCGCCGGACAATGGGCCTAGGTACTTGACTCGGTCCGGGCCGTACCACGGGGTCCCGGATGGGACGGGCCTGGAGAAAGTCTTCCTCATGGAGACTCTCCCGTTGCCGAGGAGGTTGGGAGTGGAGGGGGAGAGCTTCACCGCCTGTCCGGCGAGTGATGGGGAGGAGAGAGCCATGGTGGAAGCTGCCATTGTTGAGTTGGATTGGAGAGGCTTGATGTGTGTCTAGTGTTAAAAGAGAGTTGAGGTGGAGTGGTGATGGCTGTTTGGGCTTCGTTGGGGCTGTATAAATACATGATTGCATAAGAGAGGGTCCTTATCTTAGAGATCTCTATCTGAATTCCTATTGGCCTGCGTGCCTTTGGAATTTCGATTTTGTCTATCTACATGGCGCTCTCTACTCCACAGACCACACCTTCGGATCCTCTTATTTTATTTTTTATTCGTGGGGAGTTGTATCAAGCAGTGGAGAAATTTCAGAGATAATTTTTGTAAATTCAGATTTTTCCAACCAATGGGAGGATGCCAACTGGGGCAATTTGGATAACCCTATCTCTGCATGAAATTCAATGTTCATCAAGTGGGATCGCCCCAGCTTCTTGGTTATAGAATTCTTGTACCTACAAGAATATCCCCCACCAAAATGATCATGGAAGGACGTTGATACACCTAGCAATATTGATTTTGGCGAATTTGATGCTGTAGATTAAGGTGATGATTAATTGCTTCTATATATTGCCATCGATCATGTGTGCTTACTCTGGCTTAACTCGATCTATATTTATGGTGTATTCAATGCCATGCATACATATGCTCATGAAAGATATGCACATCCAAATAAGGTTACAATGAACTAAGTCATCATTAGCATTACTCAAGCGCTAAATCGATGACCAATAGGAGCTTCTCCTCATAAGAATCGATTTAGAAGAAAACGGAGAAGATAAATTGCGGGTTGTACATGGAGCACGAACTTCCTTGCTCCTAGGTTCGAAGACTTCCGCTTTACATGCATAACAAGAGAAACTTTTTCTTTTCTTGATTTTCAACTAAAGGTAGAAGTTATGATGCTTCACTTGTTCCCAAGCAAAATGGGTTAGACTTGGTGTGCGTTTATTTTACTGAAAATTTAATGATAAAGAAAAACATTTTCCATAGAAATCATTTTTAAGGAAAATGATTAGTTTTCATCTCTTTGGTAATTTAGGGAAAGTAATTGCCTTATTATCAAAAGGGGAAGTCATTTCCTCCCCCCCAATTTCAGCTTGTTGTTTTCAGTCGATAGAAAATATTTTCCATAAATCGATTAGTTTTCCATTATCCAAACACCGAAAAGTTGGAAAACAATTTCCCAGAAATAGTTTTTCTTCAAACAAATGAACCCTAAACGATTATTTTTAGGATAATTTGGAGAACATTTTTTTTTAAACCGATTGCTTGTATCGTTTGAAATAATTAGTCAATACTAATTTTTTTCATTATCAACAATAATTTATGTCTAAACATCTCGTGAAGATATTTGCATTCACTTTTGTAAGTAATATAAGCGATCATTTTAGGAAAATATTTTTTAAATCATTTATTTTTCGCGAAATGAACAAAGTTTAAGAAGTATGAGAAATACGAACCACTAAAATTGCAAAAGGAATTTGTAAAAAAAAAACTTTTTGAAAATAGAAAAACTCAACTATAGAGATGAGAGTAAAGTGCCTCTAGAATAATATCGGGGAAATTGGTCGGTCATGACATTTTTGATTTGTTCTTGTAATCCTTTTATTTTTATTTATTTTGTCTTTTTTCTTTCTTCAAACTGGTGGCTAGGAGGAGATACAGCGGCAAGGCTTAGTTGAATCAGTAATGTTGACTCGCCATCTAAAATTGTAGTAGTCTTCTATAATTCAAGTTGCACAAGTGCAGGGTCCTAGCTACCTGCAATCTCGTGAAATATCATCTCATAAATCGATTATGTCCAGATTTTTTTACCATCGCACATGGCCTTGAGCCATAACAGATTGAACATAATTAGTGAAATTGGAACGAGTAATTTTCGATTCTTAAGGTGAAAAACTCTCGATGTTGGGTTTGATATTTTTGCTGCACATCATATTTCACAGAAAAGACACGTTGAGAGTTTCTGTTTTTTGGACAAAACATATTGAAAGTTCAAACTGCCCTTTTCCTTAATTTTGTAATTGATGTGATGCAAGAAACCATTTCAACCGAACACATCAGACTCCATTATTTTCACACCTCTTCTTGAAAACCATTGAACAAGGTGTTGCAAGACACGCATCAGTCTCACTATTTGACTAATATCTTGTGATGATATTTATGGGTCCCATGGAAATCCAAAAAAAAAAAACATTTTTATAGTAAGTGTAGTGTCCTTGATCTTATCTTTACTAATTTCTATTGTTATTCCATACCGAAGAAAGCTCAAATTTACACTGAAATATGTTATTCATCATATACAAGCGAAAGGCTTCACCTTTTCTTTTGTCTCAATCTTAAGAGCACCGAAAATCTTGGGTGGATCAGAGAGGGCCAAGAAGACACAGAAACCAAAGCTAAAATCTTCAACTCCCAATGGAAAGATAGATACAGATATTCTGAGATAAGAGACTTGCATCAACCCTTGCATATAAATACCCCTCTAAACTCACCACCTTCTCACAACCTCTCAGCCATCCAAGTGTTTTAAAACACAAGGCAAAAAAAGCCCACTTCGTACCATGGCTGCTTCCACAATGGCTCTCTCCTCCCCATCCTTCGCCGGCAAGGCGGTGAAGCTCTCTCCTGCCTCCCCCAAGATCCTCGGCAACGGAAGAGTCACCATGAGGAAAGCCTTCAAGCCCTCCGGGAGCCCATGGTACGGCCCTGACCGTGTCAAGTACCTGGGCCCATTCTCCGGCGAGCCCCCAAGCTATCTCACCGGCGAGTTCCCTGGCGACTATGGCTGGGACACTGCCGGGCTCTCGGCCGACCCCGAGACCTTTGCCAAGAACCGAGAGCTCGAGGTCATCCACTGCAGGTGGGCCATGCTCGGTGCCCTCGGCTGTGTCTTTCCCGAGCTCTTGGCCCGCAACGGCGTCAAGTTTGGCGAGGCCATATGGTTCAAGGCTGGGGCCCAGATCTTCAGCGAGGGTGGGCTCGACTACCTAGGCAACCCCAGCTTGATCCACGCCCAGAGCATCCTGGCCATCTGGGCCTGCCAGGTCGTCTTGATGGGAGCCGTCGAGGGCTACCGTATTGCCGGTGGCCCACTCGGTGAGGTCACCGACCCACTCTACCCTGGTGGGAGCTTCGACCCATTGGGCCTGGCTGATGACCCCGAGGCCTTCGCAGAGCTCAAGGTGAAGGAGATCAAGAATGGCAGGCTTGCCATGTTCTCCATGTTTGGGTTCTTTGTGCAGGCCATCGTGACAGGAAAGGGCCCACTGGAGAACTTGGCTGACCATCTTGCTGACCCAGTCAAGAACAACGCCTGGGCCTATGCCACCAACTTCGTCCCCGGCAAATGACCTTTTGGCAGAAACACGCTTTTGCTTTGAGTGTGCTCTTAAATCATAATGGTGTGCTGTAAATTTGTGCTATATTATTGAGAGGTTAATGTGAGTTTTCTTGCTAATCAAGTGATCATTGTGAGTTTTTCATTATCATGAATCCCTGTCGACTAATGCTTGCTTCGACGCAGCAAAAGGTTGGAAATATTTATTAAATCTACAACAGATGTAACAAAAAACTAACACGAGAAAGTTGAATTGCAACTGAATCAGAAAAGAAGGAGAAGAAGACGCATCATTGTCGTAAGGATAAATTATCATAATTAAGTGAGATTTTGTCAAATCTTGGTTATAGAGTCGATAACACGACAAGCATCAGAGGATTTCCAATGCCGATTACAATCTCATCAGTGAAAGGAGCGAAAGCTCAAAGGACCAAATGGACTCGCCTAGTTCACCGTACAAGTATCCATTTCAGAAACGAGAGATGCAGTATAGGGCTTATGACCAGGACTGTCGGAGAAACTTTTTTCAACTGGACAGCGATCAGCCATCCTGCTTTACAACTCGAATCTTTTCCGGGAGCTTTGAGTACTTCGTCGCAAATTCGATGAGCATGAAATGTTGCATGTCGTAAATCAAACTGAAGATCCAAAATACAGCCACCACAGAAGTAGAACCAACGAAAAGAACATGGTCATGCTGATATCTGATATTTCACAGCACTTTATACAGTTAAAATATACATGTAACTGTTCATTTTATTATACAACCATCTCTTTGGGGCCGATCTCAAAGCTTAAAAGAAGCGCCGCGGGCATCAGTCGCTCCGTTATATAGTGAGTGGAAGAATAATTTAAAGAATATGAACCTAATTCGAATAGGCTACAGTGAGCTGCAAGTATAAGCCAATGAACGGCACTGTTTTATAAAAAATGATGAGAGAACACTATAGGCATCAAGAAGAGCTCCCGATATGATGAGAGCGAGGATGAACAATCCATTTGGCGCCGTGCAAGATTGCTATCTAGGTTTCTCTGACTGTCCACCCTGTTAATTGAAGTTTATCCTGCACCCACCATGTAGAAGACCGTGATGTCATGGAATATACTCGGCTTGACCCAACAAGCACTTGCTCCATCGCAAACCATCGTCGAGAAAACTTAAGTTTGCCGTGCTGCCCTCGCTCTTGCCACAGATTTTGAGTAGAGTTCCTCGTATTGTGACGCTGAAGGATCCCAACTGAACTCAATGTTCATGACCTTGTGAACTAGCTGCTGCCAGCTCTCCCCGTTATTGTTGTAGTGGGTGAATGCACGTTCCAAAGCACCGTTCAGTCCCTGAAAATTAGTAATATCTTCAATCACCACAAAGACGAGATAATAAAAAGGTTCCTCATGGAAGGAGAAAGGTTACGGCTATCTAATGACTCCAGTGCGATAACTCCCGCTGCTTTACCTACTATGCTGTTCCACAAACAAATCCTCTATGTTTCTTTGATTGCTTGTAAGATTAAATTTTCAAAGTCGACTTCATCATACTTTGATAATGGAGGCCTGATTTACGTTAATGGCTAAAACTTAGTTTAGACACAAGCTATCAGTGTTAGTTTGCTTCTTGAAATTTATGCAACTGCTTGTGAGGTTATTTGGGGAAGCTTTGGCATGTTAATTTTTGCTTTTAGTTTTCGACTTCTGTTGTAACCAGATATTTGGCATCAAAAGCCAATCAAAAGCCCACCCAGAAGTAGATGTCCAAAGTGGAAACTGCTTCATGTCCCGTCCCAAAAATTTTCACCAGTGCTTTTGATTTGAAATCAATTTGTTGAATTGTTTTTGTTAGAATACATAGGAATTGTTCAACTCACATTTCAAGAGTTAACCAACACATCCCAGGAGAATATCATAATAAATCTACCCTATTATTTTCTTGACAATAAGTAATGAAAAACGAATTCATAAAGTTTTATCAGTACGGAAATGATAATTTCCCGAGCTACAGTTCCTTAACTGTACGTTCAATAAAAATTCACAAGCTAAAGCCAAAGAAGTTCATAGCTGAAGTGAAAAGGTAATGCTAGGCCTTTGTTTGTCCAAACTTCTAAAGTACAACCGACTTTCGCCCTAAAGATCATCACTCTCCTCATATGGCTTGTTTCCAGCTTCATGAGTATCTTATTTACCAAGATTCATCACTTTGGTACCAAAGACATGCTTCTTAAGCTGAAAAATGGTTTATTGTGAGAATTCTGCAATCGTCATCATACCGCCTTCCAAAAATTGCACCAGTGCAAGAACTTCCCGGCACTCTTTGCCGTTGTTCTCTTTTCAAGTTTTGGGTTGAAGAATTTACACAATGGAGCTCTTTTGCAGCCCTAAGAAGCATGTCCTTGGCAACAAAGTAATGCATTTGATAAATACACTCACTGTTGTTGCGGAAAATGTGCTAGGAGGGGCATAATGATCTCTTGCGAAAGAGTTAGCATAAAAATTTGAGAGAAAAGAGAAGCAATTTAAATTCATGAGGCGAGCTGACATAATTTAATTACCAAGGGGTAAAATAAAGTTAACCTAGAACTTCATGTAGTAAAATGTACTGAGAATTTTGGCCAAAATAAAAACTGTACTTAATTTTGCCAACTCTCAATCCTAGCAACCCCCTGTTCATTTTCTCTGCAATATGGTATCTCTAACTATCAGAATGACATTCAAATAAGAGACATGGGAGTTACCCAACAGAAAGGTAAATTACCTGTTCATCGGCATTCAAGAATGTAAATCCATTTCGAAACTGGATAGGTATTGTATCATCATCTACATCAAAAATGCTACAAAAGGGAAACCAGAAGATCCTCCTTCAGTAATCTCCCATGATTAAAACCAAGAAACATGAACTCCGACTAAGCAACTTATAGTTGGCGCACCTGTCATTTAGTCCACCCGTTTTTCTTGCAATGGGTATTGATCCATACCTCATTGCTATCATCTGCGGAAGGAAATATTATTACAATAAGAAAACAGTGCTAGTTTGTGCACATAAAGGATGCTTGGATACATAGCCGTGAAATACCTGAAGACCAATAACCTGGCCCCACAGATCTAAAAACTAGAGACTAAAAGTTACTAAAATATTATTCACTGAAAATTCCAAGGTTGTCTCATCAAACAGTCAACCTATCTTGCATGAGTACTTTGTTAAGTCATAGCAACTGGATTTCTTCAACAATTAAACAATTTCCGTATCTACAAAATAGTGTGTGTAACGTACCTGGGTGAGACCACAAGGCTCAAAGATTGATGGAATGATGAACATATCACATGCTGCATAAATGCGATGGGAAAGAGACTCGTCGTACTTCAATATCAGCCGAATGTCATCATGATTTTCGAATTGGTTCGCAATACCCTCAAACTCCCTCTAATATCACAGTAAACAAGAAAACAATAAAATACATTGTCAGTCCATACAAGAGAATGAAATTGGCTAATCATATCAGTGGCACCATTGTTACGCAGATGATAAATTCTACATGTTTCAACACTTGTTCATAGATTAACTCATTGTAATCATGACTTCAATAGGGTACAAATGTCTACATGCTACAAGGATGTGCACATCCGATAAAGAATTTGAGTGGAATATGAATATAAATTGCGACTTTTGGAATAAATATGATCATCTTAAATAAATAGATGTGGTGAAGTTACTTTCATAGATTAAGAAGATTGATGAGCATGCATTTGCATCACCAACATCTTCAACTTTCTAAAACTTGTATGATGTACATGGAACTAGATAGGTGCCCTTGGTTAGACTATATGCAGTCCACCTAGTGATGATGGATATGAAGCGGCTTTATGAAGCTAAGACTACGAAGGAATCTTGCGTATGGCATAGAATAATTGATCAGCTTAAGATAAAAGGAGCATACAACATGAAGTTGGAAGCTCAATTACATCAGTTCTTAGTTAGCCATTAAATTTACGGATAAGTGCACTGGAAATTCTAAAACTCATCAGAAAAATGCAATTAAGTCCTAAAACTTTCAAAAAGTGCAAGCAAGTCCTAAAACTTTAAAAAAGTGCAATTTAGTCCTAAACACTTGTCATGAAAATGCAATTGAGTCGTAAAACTCTCAAAAAGTGCAATCAACGTATAGATTTGATTGGACCAATTGACAAGTTTTAAGACTTGATTGCACTTTTTGAAAGTTTTAGGACTCAATTGCACTGTTGTGACAAGTTTTAAAACTTAATTGCACTTTTTGAAAGTTTTAGGACTCAGTTGCACTTTTGTGATAAGTTTTAGGACTTCCAATGCACTTATCTTTAAATTTATGACCCACAATGTCCAGATACTTATGTGCAATCAATCCGTGAAGAGCATGGCAGCAAATCTGGGCCTCAAAACACATGTAATTGAAGATTTAATGCAAAAGCAAGGGTCTCCCATTGCACAGGGCTCCTTGAAAAAAAGGAGATAGAAAAACTGCCACAACCAGGGAAATTCATAATATCGATACATACATTAGCATGGTAGCACATATGCATGTGCATGAACATACACTGAGTTCCATCCATATGAATGAGAAAAAGAAAAGAAAAGAAAAGGAATGTCTGATTGATGGAGGAAGATTGGTCCCACAGTAATAAAGAAAAAGACTATCATCAGCATGATAAGAGCCAAATTTCACACCTAATAATGGTCAAGATTATCCGGCAGCCTTACTCAAAACATACCTAAATCACATGACATGCAGGGAAACAAATAATATGTTAGGTGTCGGGAATTTTGCTGGCCACAAAATTCAAAGTAACTCATTGGAAATACCCAAGTCACATTCACAAAAATTATGAGATCCTTGTCAGTTTTGAAAGTTTAAGCTGATAAATGAAGACATGGTTTCATATTTCAATGCTCTAACATGCATCATCACTCAAAAGTAGGGCTTTGGTATAAAACAAAAGCATGAAAATTCGATACAGTTGGGGAGGCAAATGACAGGTTTTGAAGAGATATTTGAAAACAGGGTTTTTTGCTACCAATGCCAACTTATCTAAAACATAAGCAATCAGATGAAAGTACAGTTTTAGTGACTTTCCAAGAAAAAAGAAAGGAAAAAGCAACAATCACTAAAACCATGATCAGGAAGAGTAATAAATCCACATCAGGCAGGGAGTATCTTATTAAAATGAATGCAGAAGAACTTTAATGACTACTTTGCTAAGGAATATTATACCCAAATCCTAAAGGATTGGTCCTCTTGCATGGTAGCTATATAAGACAAGTTCCAAGAGATGACTTCATATGATAGACTCACATTAAGAAAAATCCCAATTTGGTTTGCAAAAGTCCTTTAGTCAGAGTCATTTAAGTGTCACGATCTGTGACTGCACTTAACATGGTTAAATGTTTGTTAATATGCAGCCTCAGACAGATCAGCTCTTTGACCTTTACAAGTTACCATTTCTTTTACTATTTCAATTAAATAATATGGTAGATGATTAGCTACAATATCAAGTCTTGAGTTATTCACCTGTCATGTTTTTCAAAAGCTCAATGTCAGCAAAACACAGTAAGTGATGCCCTCATTTGACTACCTAAACTCTATCCAACACCACCAGAGTTTCATAGGTGTTCTTTTATTTTGAGTTACTATTACACTAGACTGTGATTCTATTCATAATATATATCTTAATAAGCAAATAGCAGTCGCTAGAACTGACAATCCCCTAATCCAAAAGACTTCTCTAAGAGGATAAGTCACATAAAGTTCTAGAAAAGTTCCAGAATAGCACCTAGTTCCCCGTAAAATTACAGACTATAGGTGGAACACTCGGTGAATTATTACCTGAATATGTGGCACAGGGCTTGAACCAAGTAGTAGAAACTGCCCTCCAAGCTCCAGTGTTTGGAACAAAGCATGCCTAATAAGATGTACACCCTTTTGTGGCACCAGTCTTGTTATGCAGCCCACCTAATCAATTCAGATTTGAGCGACCTTTGTGCTACCCACAATTTGATGAGCAGGATAAAAAGCACAGAAATTAATATTTCAAAAAGCAATTTGCTAGATTTAAAAGCACCAACATGAGTGACAACTTACAAAAGGGGTACTAGAGAGGGAACAGAATAAAGAGAAAACCAAGCATAACTTAGAAAATGAAATCAAACCAAACCAAAGTAGCTAAATGCTTAAAATTTATCAGCTCATCCGTTTTATTAAAAAAAAGTAGACTAGAAAAAAAGAAATTGAAAAGCTTAAAAGAGCCAAAACAAACCCAATGAAAACTTTGCTTCTCAAGAAGGTAACTGATGGACGAGTCATTTAACTTTAGGCTACTTTCCCCCGATCACAGTTCCAAACTTTCTCATAAGTCACATTACTTCCTATATGGTTTCAAATAAATTACTTCGTCAAACATTTTATTAAAAACTAAATCAAGAACTGATGTTTCGTTCAATTGGAGACCAACTTGAAACTTTCTCTATATCCACATGGCATGCCATGTGAACAATCCTTTGAAACTCTAAAGTACGATTAACTCAGTGACCCACTTAACATGATTTCAAAAGGGCAGGAACTTAAAGTACTGCAACATGATTAAAAAAAAAATAAAGTTGGACAACCAAAGAAGCAATTTAACCTAATCCATCAGCTGGATTCAATTTGAAAACAGTGAATAAAAAAATAAATTCAATTATCTGTGAATGGGACAGAGGAAGAAAATGTCCGTAACAATGAGAGGTCAAGGAAAATCTATCATTCTTGAATACAGCAACCGCCACTGAATTTTTGTTTGATCCATTTATTTTCAAAAACATACCACCCCATAAATTAAAAGTGACAAGTAAGGAAGTCAGAGCACATATCACTGCAGACCACGTATAAACCACTCTGTAAATACGAACCCCAGAGTACTTGTAGAGGCAAGTTATTGTAATAAAAAAGATTATGCTGCAGACAAATTGAGTGCATTATCAGCAACCTAACACCCTTGAACTGTCACATATAAGAAATTCAAATCAACCATGATACATTAGAGCTTCTTACACGAAACAATAACCATTTGATTCATAAGTGAGCTCGCTACTAATTACCATTGGTTTCCAGGCATTCGCAGAAGAGAGCCCCAGTTGCCTTCTTATTGCTCTTTTATTTTCTGCTTTGCCTTGAAGATCATTAGAACTGTACTGGACTTCAAGGAAAGCATCAGTTGCAGGATTCCATGCATCTGTGTCAATGCCATTAAGAATTCCGACAAACTTTTTACTATGGAGATTCAGTGTTGAATGCAGACCTTTTCCACCCTGTGGAAGACAGAAAGCATGAACATTTACCCTTCTGCAGCGTAGAACTATTCTGCAACCCCCAACCCCTTCAAAAAAAAAAAAAAAAAAGAGGCACGGAAGTGTCGGCTAGAACAATTCTGTCAGACTTATTCAGCATTAGGAACTTAAGATATCTCCTTCAGACTTTCTAGGACCTACTCTTTTGATAACTAGTCCAAAATGGCACCAATATGCATTGTTTCACAAATAATGCATATGCAGAAGATAATAAAAAATCAAAATTTTCATTTCATTAAACTGATATACCTTTATGGGTTACACAAACAATAAAATGATAGAAGGTAAGGAAAAGAAAAAGATAAGGGCAGTGACTCAGCAAGTGCAATCTTTGCTGGGAGAAAAAACTAATAAAGTTGGAATCTTTTCTGTAGAAAGCTTCAGTAGCTCGCCTGAAAGACAACATAACAGAAACTATATAAAATATTGAAAAATTAAGAGTATGTAATTTGTCTAGTGATCATAATTTTCATATTTTGACATGTGGCAGAAAACTCTACAATTTCAATGACGATAGACTAAATTGACTCCTTAGATGCACCAGATCGCTATATAATTTAGCTCTCATTTTTTTGCACTCTAGTATCATGTTTTCTTTCTTATTTCTTAAGCGAATTATTCTGGAATTATAATTAGATCCAATTACCGCAAAAAGGTGCACCATTCCTTTGAAAATGAAAGTAGTCACAATTGAGACAATGCCGATACATCTATCCTATGGCAGATATCAAATGTTTAAGAGAAAGATTATTAAGCCACAAGCAATTGTAAACAAAGTATTAACACAAAAGGACGTGGTAGTCTTCAACTTTATCATCGTCTTTATTTTCTCAAGAACGCTACTGCCTTTTTACTCCTTTTACTATCTGATATTACAAAAATTATGTCCCTAAGCTCATCGTTTACCACCAATGACTGGGTGCCTCATCATCCAGGAAATAAAAACAAAAACTTAATAGATATTCATTGCAGAAACCTTCAATTAGCATTTCCATGGCAGCCATAATTTCCCCTCCTCCTTCTCTGATACGTAGCCCATATAAACCCTCAGTATGCAAAATTATGGTACTATAACAATAGAATATGCAAAACATTAAGCACCAGCACCAGCACCAGTAGAAGTCAACTACTGTTTATAAGATTTAATGTGCTACTCAAAAGAGAGAGTTAAGAAGGTTTATATGTCTTTTGCTGATGCAATAAGCACAGTTTCTGACACATAATTAAGATTGATTGATTATGGCTATAGCAATACACTTAACTATTTATTGATGGTTCCAGAGGCAACCTTCTGCGCATTTGTGGAACAAATTATGCTTTGAGTACCCAGGCTAGTAACTACAAATAAGCAAGTTCATGAGAAGGGGAGCAAGCAAAAGTTAAGGCGAATGACTATACCTCAGCTGTCCTGACCTCCTGTGCATAAGTTGGAGATACTGTTGTGACGATATTGGAAAAGACAACCGCACCCTGGATAACATGAGAGAAAAGAAGAAATTAATCTACATATAAACATGATGGAACTTTCACAGAAATGTACTCAGAAAAAAGAAGACATTCTAGGCAGGTTTCCCGAGATTCTACACTTAAAGTCAAAAAAGGAAAGAAAAGATGTTACATGTTACTTAAAACATGCATGTAAATCTGGAAAAAAAAATGACGTGCTAAGAAAAAGCTCCAAGATTTGCAAAACAGAGACATTACATCTGTTCAGTCTATACTTTTTAATTCCAGTTCTTCCACACAATCTTAACTCAGATAAGTTCCTATCAAACATTTCATCGTGACTCAAAGTTTCTATTCTCTCTTACAATGGCAAGCCATTTTGATACCTTTACAGGATTGACCCTATCAAGTGCCAAGTTGTCCTGCATTCTATCTGGCCTGTTTAGTTCTTGAACATCGAGACCACATGATGCCAATTCCGAAGCAGGTGCAGTCCCTTGATACTCAAAGTTGTGGCATGTAAAGCAAATTCTTGCAGAATTCAAGCCTTTTGGAGCATACAAATCCCAGTACAGTGGTGCCTATATTTGGAGATGATTGCTGGTATGAGAATCAATAGTAAGTCTCCGAAGAAGAGCACACTTAACCGACAACATTTGGAATTGAACGTACAACAAAAGCTGTTTGCCAATCGTGGCAATGGATAATGTCAGGTTTCTTGCCAGATTGAAGAAGCAACTCCAATGCTGCGCGACTGAAAAATGAAAACCGCTTGAAATCATCATGCTCTCCGTATAATTGTCCTCTCCAGAATAACTTATCGGGATGAAGAGGCTCAATAAAATAAACGGGAAGGCCTGGATTTAGAAGTCAAATCAGCACATAACACAAAGATGAAATGACAAGCAAGAGATAATAGGAGATTTCTAACCTTCGACTGTGCCGACCCAGACTTTGTTTTTGTACAGTCTGCCATCAAAATAAGATTCTACAACAGCATCTAAGGCCTGTAACAGATAAGTAGAACATAATCCGTTAAGTGAATTGCAAATCTTCATATATCAACTCAAACCATCACAGAATCTATTACCCTCAGGTCCTGCATGCGTTCATATTGCATGCAGTCATATTTGGGAAGAATAATCTCCACAAGGTGTCCTCTCTTCTGGAGTGCCTTGCTAAGACCGGTCAAGACATCCCCCAACCCACCAACCTGACATATTTGCAAAAGGAGCAGTCATATTCATTCTGAATATAATGAGAAAAATACAACCAAAAATATGAAAATAGCTTGAAGATAGTACACTGTTTCACTGCTAAATTTTTCCATGTTCATAGAAACAGAGAGATGACTCCTCTCCCTTTTCAGAATCAGAAATACCTAATTTAGCTGCTAAGTGGTCAAGGTGGCATTATTTTATATAGAGCTAGAGCACTATTAATCTTGTCTAAAATAACAGTGAAATTCAACGTCAATAAGCAAATGAACCAGATCAGATCTCACACGTTCATTAGTCTGCCAAACATTTGTATGTCATCAGCTCATGGATAAACCATGATGAAGACGCTAAGTGGCTATGAACAAAAAGATACAGAAAGTTCAAGAGAATAATGATTGTGAGGACATACTTTCAGGACAAACTCCAAAATTTCATTTCAGTCTGGCTATTTGGTTGATGAGGGCAAGTAGCAGTGAGGCATGATGGTTGGTCCAGAAGAACATCACGTAAGAGCCTAACCAGCATGCATGGGTAAGGCTGCATATCAATTATCTACACCACTGACCTCGCAATGCAAGGAGCCATGTGAATGGGGCATCTTTCTTTGTTAGTTTAACAAGATTTGGTGACAAGTTACAACAACCGATGACTAAAACTAAGAGTCACAAAAAGTATAATGTATCAACCAGTTCAGTAGTCGTGTGTTTTTTTTGCCATTTTGATTCAGTCATGGCTATGCTTATGTTAAGTATCTGTCCAGTAACATCTACTCTCTTTCTTGCAGACAATTATTCAATGAGGCTGCAAAGGTAATTCAACCCAGAAAAATCTTAATCAGATTGTGTGGAGACGTTCTCAGGAAACCATATATCCAAGATGCATATAAAGAAGCTTCTGTATGAAGACTACAGGGGAGAAAATTTCCAACCAGAAGCTATAGGTGCTGGTCATGAACTTCCTTTAGAGGTGCAATGAACAAAGAGAAAGGACTTGCATCTTTTCTTAGTCATAAAACTAGCACATGGAGTTTTTATGAAGAGGTTTAATAAAGTGATACCCGAAAAACAAAGGAACACAATGAATATGCAAGCTGATGCTACCGCTAATATCCTACCGTGCTGCGACAACTACCGCAAAATTAGTTGTGCTGTGTGACAACTACCACAAACCATTCAACATAAGGGTAACCAGCGTCCCAGCAGAAATCAACATAATTGGAACCAATGTTTTGCCAACACATCAAAAGAGCAAGCATTCAATTTTGTAGCTGTTTCAAGCTTACCTTAGCAACAGGTGCCAGCTCTGCAGCTATATGAACGACATACAATCCTGGGCTACATATCAACAGAAGGAGCAAATTAAGCAACAGAAACCGATTTAGCAAAAAATTTTCAGGAAAAGCTAATACCTCGAGGGTGCTGATATGAGTCTTAAAAAGGTGGCCATGGCCTCGCGTTCACTTTTGTCTTTGCATGCCATGTATGCATCATAAATGCGTCTATCCCTACTCCACACCATTTCTCTCAAAATCTTAGCATCATCAGTGGATAATTTCTTCTCAAGCAACCAACCATCAAACTTCAACAATAAACGGCTCCAAAATTCACGTGGCATATCATCCACTGGTTCATCGAGCATCCTTTTCTTGCTTTTCTCTTTCAAGCTATTAAGAGTATCTTGAAATTCCTTCACAGATTCTTGATATAACTGAACATAAGAATGAATCTCTTCATCCGACCTCTGAAGACGCTCCTCTAACAGCTTAATCTTTTGCTGCATCAGTTCATTATATTGCTGCAATTTTTCCGATGACACCTTGTAGACATTGGCTTCTTCCAAAGACTGTTCCAACTTATCAACCTTCTTCCGCAGTTCCTGGTTTTGCTGTAACCCTAAAATAGCTTGATCAGCCTGTTTGGTGGCCTTATCGAGCAACAGTTGCAACGTTTCTACCTTCTCCCATAGGTCCTTGTGCTCAAACTTTAAAGACGAAAGCTTGGAAACATCTTCCTGAGAAACTGAAAGTTTAGATTCTAGATCCTTTAGAGCTGACTCAAGGTGGAACCTTTGTTTTTCCAGCACCATCACACGCTCATCTGTGTCCTTAACACTATTAAGCTCTGCCTTAAGGGCTTCGATGTCATTTTTTAGAGAGACGTTCTCTTCCCTCAGGGAACTAAGCTCCTCATTAATGAAATGAGTGCTACTGTGATACGATAAAGGCTTTTCTGCAATCAATTGGTTGTTCTGAATTTCATAATTGCCAAGCTCATTTGTTTCAATGCCAAGCTCACTTCGTTCAATTCCACCTCTTTGTATCAATTCATTCCGCAGCTTCTCTAATTGATCTTCTAAAAGTTCTGCATGCATCTTTTCTTGGGCAGCAACTCTTATTCGTGCATCAGTTTCTGCTAACTTCATCTCCAAATTGTTAATTTCTCCTTGCAATGCTTCCTTCTCAGAGAGAATGTTATCAAGATCTTTAAGTGCACTCACCCTAGCTTGGTTGAGGAGTAGAATATCTAGCACGTAGATGACACACATGAGCACATCCATTTCCTCAAAACTCAACTCCAATCAAGGCAAAAATATTAGGAACCTGGAATTTCTTACTCTTTTCCGCATTTTTTATCATGCCCATCAGATCCTCCACTTGAATACCGGATAGCTGCTGTCCCGTATCATTGATGATGGCCTTTAGTGAACAAAATCGGAGGGATAGCACACAGGAAAATGAACATTTAGTGTTCACGACATCTCATCAAAGTCTCGCGTGAATTATTGGCAATCTATCTATCTCTCAAAGTCGATAAATGAAACAAAGCATAGGCATCATATCATGAAATCAAAAGTATGCCGGATGCCGGAAACTGAAACAACCAAAAAGTTCCCATGCAAAACACAGTCTAAGCATACTCTCAAATTCTCAATTTTGTGAGATATTCATGGACTAGAACCGATGCGCGCACTTGCACACGCACAACTAGACAGAAAAAAAAAAAAAAATATATATATATATATATATATATATATATATATATATAAGAACGCGTTTGAAAATGCCTCAAGAAGAATACCAAATTCATCTCCATCGCCGCACTGCTCGAAGCTTCGTTTCTATCAGCATTCTGATTCTCCACATCGATCACGACTCCGTCAGCATCGTCTTCCTTGGATTCCGACACGATTTCCGGATCAGCGCCGTGCACGCTCTCGGCCAGAGCACCATCGTCTTCGCCCTCTCCATTCACAACCATCGAAGGCGGCCTATCCTGCGAGGCCCTCTTTACTTGCTGCCTCCTACTCCGAGAACTGATCAATAAATCACACACACACAACCGAAAGTGAGAATCCACAGCACGCGCCATCCCCAAAGAAAACCGCCGAAACGATCAGCCCAGCGGAGCACCTGAGGCTGCGCTGCCGCATCTTGCAGGAAGCGGGGAGAAGCCGGCGGTGAGAGGCGGGCGACGCGAAGAGCCGCGGGAAGCTCGAGCCCCTCCGGCTCGGCCCCCCGCTCAGCAGGCACGTGGACGCCGTCGCGGCCATCGAAGCCCCGCCCCGCCCCGACCGATCGGAATGCTCCTCCGCCGGAGACGACGACGGGGCGACGGGGAGAGAGAGAGAGAGCGCGAGGGAGGACCGGCGGCGTCGTCTTCTTCACCGAGCGACCACCGCCGTAGCCGGTGCCGAAGAGGCGCTCGTCACAGCCGACGGAGCTCACGAGGCTTCGAATCCTTCGTTTCCCGTTTCGTTTTTCTCTTTGATAAGAAGGGAAGGGAAGGGAGAGAGAGAGAGAGAGATGGCTACGGTGCGCGCGGGTGTAGGAGAGAACGAACGATCGGTCGGTCGCGGCTGTGGAGTCACGACGTTATCCTGATCCGACGGCGGGAGATCGGTGGGGCCCACACGAGGCCGCGGGCCGCGGCGGCGGATGGGGGGTTCTGATGCGATCGGGGGACCAGCGGAGTTTGGGTGAGGGTTAGCGCAGGGGAGAGCAGCTCCGGCGGCAGGGATTTGAAGCAAGGTTTCTTCAAAAGAGAATCGATGTGAGATCGAATCGTAGGTTAGTGAAGCTTGGTGTGAAGTAAGATATCCGGTAAGAATGAAGAATCAATGGGGCAATTCTATGGTCTCTCGAGAGATCGATTCGTGGCGGTAACGTTTTTACCTACTTTTATTACAATTGATGCAGAGAGGACACAAATCGCTCCGGTTCGTGTCGGTACCTCCCGTCATTGAATTTGTATTACATCGATCGTTATTCCTTCTCCTTTTTACAAGTTTCGATTATCTTATCTCGGTAAAAAATGAAGGCCGTGAAATAAAGTAACGAAGAAAATCCAAAGAACCGTGGTAAGTGCGAGTTATACGCGATGTGGTCATAAACTAACCGATAATGTGAATAGCATGGCCCATGTCGGGATGATCGAGTAACAAGACAGTCGATCAGTTGTCAATAGAGTGGAGGATTCAGAAGAGGAGCTCTATCATTAATATCGAATTTGGCATTAGTCTCAAGAGGAGTTATAGAAATCTTAGTATCGATAAGCCCTCCTCCAAAAAGAAGATTAATGTCGTAATTTGCTTGAGAAATGTAATAACCGAAGGAACCCAAGCATCCTCCGCCTAAAAAATAGCTGAGTTTCCCAAAATTCGTCATTGCAAGTTGTTGACTGAAAAAGTACTGGAGTTTTTGTAATGTTGGTATGATCATCACCAGTGACAATCATAGTGACAATCATGGCATCTACATTTTATGAGATGTTTGCCGAACAAAAAGAGCATATGACCATATGGACTGCATGTAAAGCCAAGGCATTCCATGATTGAACTAAACTAAGAATACAATGCATGAGGAGCACGTTCCAGTCCATCTAATGCTTGACGTGATTGACAAACTTTGTTAGGAAGATCAGTGTATATAGGAGAAGGCACCATTATAGACTTTTTCAATAAGGTCACTGTTAAAGAATGCATTTTTACATCCATCGGCAATAGAGATCATTATTAATAGAGGCGATGACAAGAAAACTCTTAACATAACTAAAGCGTGAAACAGGAGTAGAAGTATCATTATAGTCAATTCCATACTCCTAAGTAAAGTCTTTTGCTAAGTAGTCGAGTTTTGTAGCATTCCACATACTTCATTTTGCAATGTGGCCATGTTAATTTTAAAAGAAAACTAAAATGAAATATATTTGAAAACTACATTGAAATCCAAAATGAAGAATTACCTTCTCCTAAAAGTGAATAGCCAAATCGTCCAAAAAATACTAAATTTATTGTAAAGCGCCTAATTCAATTCTAAATTTTTCAATTTTGCCAATTAAGTAGACTTTTTAACGATTTGCCAATATAATCCTTCTAACAAATTTTGGCCGGAAATTGATAACATAGGATGCGTATGGTAGTAGTTCTATTCCCACGAACAATTTCTTTTCATAAATAGTTTTCTCTATTTTTATTCCTTGAACTAGTTTCTAAATAAAATAATGCGTTTGGTAACTGTACAAAATTTCTATTTTCGGAATAAAAAAAAATAGAAAAGCGTATGGTATGACCCTAAATTTTTTTTCCAACGTAGAATTTTTTTATATTTTTTTAATAATTTAATGAGATTTTTCTAATTTTTTTACTTTTTTTCTTTTTTTTTTCTTTTCTTTTTTTCCTCCCTTCTTCTTCCTCCTTTAGCCGGTTGACGGGTCTTAGCGATGGCCGATGATTGGCTAGAGACAAGGGCCGGGAAGGTCGACCTCGCCAGCCTCGAGTGAGCCTCGCCAAGCCTAGCCCAGCCACCAAGGGACCCATCGCCGGGGTCGGCAACCGACTAAAGGAGAAAGAAGAAGGAAGGAAAAAAAAGAAAATGACCTTGTTTCATAAATTGTTCCTAGGAACAAAGAAGTGAATTTTTTTACTTTTTTATTTCTATTCCAAATTTATTCCCTGGTCACTTTTCTATCCGGGTAATAGAAAATTTAACCAACGTACACAAACAAATTTCTATTCTTTTTATGTTCCGGAGAACAAAAACATAAAAAAAAACAGAGAAATAGAAATGTTATCAAACACGTACATAGATGTCAATTGTCCTACGTGGCATGGATGACGTTAACGTAGACAATTTTTGCAATTTTTTTAAAATTTTTTGAATTCTTTTCCTTTCCTTTCTTTTTCTTTCCTTTTCTTTTTTCAGAAAAAGCCACTAAAAGCCCCAAATTATGCCCACTTTGATATGTTTACTCTAAACCTTTTTTTATGACACCAAAAATTCCAAATTTGTACTTGTATAATACATTTACCTTTCATCAAGGTTTTATCAATGAGCACCATAAAAAATCTGCCTACATGGACAACATACTTACAAACAATATTATTTTGGCTAGAAAATCATTTGATAGAACCTTGATAGAAAGTTCATGTGTTATACGAGTACAAGTTTGGGTTTTTTGATGTCGTAGTGGGCATGGTTTGGTAGTTTTTTTTTAGACAAAAAAATTTTTAAAGTGGAATTGGGACCGAACCAAAAGTTAGTGATTTTTTATGAGACAAAAAAAATTTATGATAGAATTAAGACTAGACCTAAAGTTATGGGTTTTTAGGGTATTAGGCCGTGAAAAAAGACAAAAGACTCTTTTATTTAAAAAGATAGAAATAAAGCTTTTTATCATTCCTAGCAAATATGTTGGTGCTTATATAATATCATACTTATGAAGTAGAACAAGATAGAGAAAAATTCAACTAAATTATAAAATAAATTGAATAATTAAAGGTCACCCAGTGTAGCGATCATTAAAATAACAAAACTGGAAGTTGAATGGGAATTAAATATGGAGTTAAAATTATGGGACTCTATTTTAATTTTTTTGGTAGTATGTTAACTATACTTCAATTTAATGATAAGAATTAAAACAACTAAGAAGCTTAAAATGAAAGAAAGAATTAGAAGATGATTGAAGAAAATCTTTGGCACGATATAGACTGGACTTAATTTTCTGAATTATAAATGCAAAGGAATATGGCATTAGTTTGTTTAATCTAATTTGACAAATTGGCAAGGTGATGAATGGGTACTTAATTGATCTAGTGCTACTTTTCAAAAAATTTTGAAGTATTCACATCTTCAAATCAAATTGGTTCCAAGTAATTTGTTGTACTTCATTAAGCCAACTCTCGAGTTAATAACATTCTTTATTTATGGTTCAATTTTCCATTTATTATCATCCAATGCACAACAACTATTGTTTCCTCAGGGCTCCTTTTAGTGTCGTGGCTTGGAAAGCATGCTCAAGTGCTCATTTTCGGTTATACTAAATTACTAATGGTGGAGGACGATGTGGAGAGACATGTTAATCAGGCCAAAGTAAATAATACCTCGACGGGAGAAGCTAGGGTTGAAGTCGAATATGCCATCGCTAAAATTCATGGTGTGTCAATTATGAAAATGTCTTTCATGTGACTGTTATATCACATAACAATGGCTTGTGGAGAACCCGACCAATAAGAAGCGAGAGTTTCAAAATTCAAATACAAAAATTGGTCAGTCATGCTGCGTTAACTCAAAGGTATTTCAAGGAAAAAGAGCCTTCACAAATAGGTTTCTAGGTTTTCGCCTCGCATAATATTTACTGCATCATGTCAAGCAAAACTGCAAGCAATGACTAGAACGTAAAAACAAAACTGAAAAGTTCACTAAGCATAATTTAAAGAGAAAAAAAAACTCTCAAAACCCTAGCGCATCCTCAAATTAGTACATTAACCTCTCCCATTCTGAATTTGGTCAGACTCCTTATCATTTTTATCTTCAGCCTTAGAAGCAACATCGTCAAGATGTTGCTGGTACACATAAGAGAGAAACCCCCATATTGCCAGCACCATGGCAATCCCCTTCACTCCATCCATCTTGTCGTCCAAAAACACTACGGCCAACACCGGCACGATCGGCAAACCCAAGACCGCGATCACGTTCGAGAACACTGACGACACTTGGAAGATCAGTCCTCCCATCCCAATCGCGAAGACCTGCCAAGTTATCGCCGTCCAAACCAAGGTCATGACATAGGATACCTTCCCTAGTGAAAACTCCTCCATTTCCTCCGTTAGTCCCTTCCACTCCCCGCTAGCAAACAACCCCACCACGACGATGAATGTCGCGACCATGGACTCGTATATCACCAGCTCGAAGATCGTGTAAATCGGGTCCCTCCTGTGGACCTTCCGGAAGTAAAGCTGCGTGAGATTCAGGACTAATGCGCATCCGGCTGACGCGATTAATGTGCATATGAACCCGGCCACACACTTTCCGCTGGACACTGTAGTTGTACTATTTGTATCGGTTTGAAACACTAAGAGGGTGGATGAGATAGTCAAGAGCACTACAGAATTGATTGTCAAGGGAGTGAACTTCTGCGAGTTGATGAAGAAGGCGAGTAGGGCATTGAAGCCCAATTGCGATGCGGTGATTAGAGAGAAAGTCGACACGGGGAGGTATTGAAGTCCGACTGAGAACATCATAGCGACTGCCGCAAAGATTATGCCAAAAACGATGTAAACGAGTGCGAGCAGTCTTGCATCGATACGGCCATCAAGAGCGGCTTTTGTGGTGGAAGAGGACTTTTTTGGTGAGAAGAATAAGTAAGGAATGAGGATTGGGAATCCTGCAATTTGAACTAGTGTTTCCATCCATTTGCTCTTCCCTCCTTTCTCATAGTAGAGTCTCCCCAAGATTGTGGCTATTGATTGGCCTGAGAGGACAAATAGCGAAAACACTGCGAT